ATAGGTTAGGTTAGGTTAGGTTAGGTTAGGTTAGGTTAGGTTACGTGTGGGTGGATGTGCTGGATGGGCAATGTCACTTTCTTCTACTTCCAACATCTGCTGTAGTGTCGTCGGTCCTGCCCTCAATTGCCATCACTACATCACTATACAGGTAAGTATCCATCCACCCATGATCGAACCAGCGACCCTTTAATGCAGGAAGCGAGCATTATATCCACTCGGCCAGCGCTTCCCAAACTGGTTAGTGTGTTGAGAATTGATGAAGAGTTAAATTATGTCCAGATAATTACGGTGACAAAAAAATGAAGTGACAGGGAGACAGTTTTTAAAGGTAAATGTCGACAAATGTGTTAGAGAGAGAGAGAGAGATGTACATCATTATCTCAAAACCAAGCCCCATAATTCTTGGGGTTGGAGTCATTAGCATGTAATTAAAGCTTTGATCTACAGGAAAAAAAAGTAAATAATTATGAAAAAAATTTTGATTCTACAACACACAAACATATATATGCATCTTCACCAGGACACACCTGCTGGTGACCACAACTGACACAGTCACCAGGGACGGCTCGTTGTTGTAGCGACACATGGACACATATTTTGTGTACTGTATGTGTGGTGACGTTGTGACGCTGGGACCTCCGTAACATGGAAAGGTTGTCCATCACATGGTATTTCAGAGGACCTTGTTTTACCCTAATCATTAAGACTGGGGCTTATTCAGAGTGGGGCCTGCTAGGACTGGGGCCTATTAAAACTGGGGTCCAACAGGACTATGGTTCATTAAGACGAGGAACCTACTAGAACTGGGGCCCATTAAGACCAGATGCCTACTAGGACTGAGGCCCATTAAGACTAGGGGCCTACTAGGACTAGGACCTACTTGGACTGGGGCCCATTAAGACTGGAGCCCACATGACCAGTGTTGTCAAGGATTATATCAGGGTCACACGGTGTGGTGGGAAGCCTGACCATGTGACGTCACCAGCCAGTACCAACCCGAGTTAATAACATGGGATCATCCTTAACAAATCTCTCCTAATTATCTGCTAATGACCTTCTTAAGTCATTCACTAAAGCTTTAGATTAGAGTAAATGTAGTTGAAAGTTTGAAGAGTCTTTTTAATCATTTAATATTTTGGTTATAACTTGACAGCTTTTGTATTTTGTGATAAGGGAATGAAACTTAGCATAACTTAACTTATTATGATGTAAATTTAATATTATGGTGTACAACTTTGACAAAAATAATAGAAATAAGAACTGGTGAGCCTCGCGTGTTGAGTCCTGCCGTGTTGTAAGATTAGCAGTGTGAGTGGGTAGGGGATGGGTAGGGGATGGGTAGGGGATAGGCCGTGGTGGGTAAGAAATAGGCCGTGGTGGGTAGGAGATGGGTCGGGGTGGGTGGGAGATGGGTCAGGGTGGGTGGGGATAGGTCGTGGGTAAGGAATAGGCCGTGGTGGGTAAGAAATAGGCCTGTGGTGGGTAGGGAGATGGGTCAGGGTGGGTGGGAGATGGGTCGGGTGGGTACAGGATGGCTCTCCAGGTGGGTAGGGGATAGGTCAGGTGGGTGGGATGGAAGGCCGTGGTGGGTAGGGGTTGGGGGTGGGTGGGGTTAGGCCGTGGTGGGTGGGGGATAGGCCGTGGTGGGTAGGGGATAGGCCGTGGTGGGTATGGGGATAGGTCAGGGGGTGAGATAGGAATGAGTCGGAGGTGGGTTGGGGATAGGTCAGGGTGGGCTGGGGATGGGTCAGGGGTGAGTTGGGGATAGGTCGGGGTGGGCTACGGATGGTCAGGATGGACTGAGGTTGGGTCGGGGGTGGGCTGGGATGGTGGGGGTGGGTTGGGGATGGGTTGGGGGTGGGTTGGGGTGGGTTGGGAATACGGCAGGGGTGGATTGGGGATACGTCGGGGTGGGCTGGTGATGGGTAGGGTGAGGTAGGGATGGGTCGGGGTGGAGCTAGGTATAGGTTGAGATGGTCTGAGGTTGGGTTGGTGTGGGCTGGGGATAGGTCGGGGTGAGCTTGGGATGGGTCGGGGTGAGCTAGGAATGGGTCGGGGTAAGCTTGGGATGGGTCGGGGTGAGCTTGGGATGGGTCGGGGGTTGGGTCTGGGTTGTTGGACAAACTTTACTTGGGTTGGTCTCGCAGTGTCCTACATAATGGCACCCAGTCGGAGGGTAAAACATGAATGTGTACTGGCACCAACTCTCTTTTCCATTTTCTTGGCTGCCTTCCTTACCCGTGCCAGTGCCATTCTAGACGGCGGGGTGGACATCCAATATCGGATGAAGGGTCTCCTCAACACAAAGACGACTCCAGGCAGACAAAGGTGCCGGCCGCTTCCATCACTGAACTTCAGTATGCAGACGACCTCACCCTTATCGCTCACACTGAACGCGACCTACAGGAGATCCTGAACACCTACAGACGAGTATACACACTTCGGCCCTGAGGTGAATATACCTAAGGCACAGATACTGTTCCAGCTGAACCTAGTTCAACCACGACTCCACCGTTGATCCAGGTTAGTACTACCCTCTCTAATGTTAACCATTTTCTAGGACCTTGACTCCCACCTGCCCAGCACAGCAGATATCGATGAAAAGATTCAACATCGGATCACATGTGCATCTCAAGCCTTCGGCAGACTCCGAACCCGTGTCTTCAGCTGTAGGGAGCTGAAATTATCTATAAAGCTGCACGTATATCGATCAGTGGTCCTCTCCACCCTGCTGTATGGCAGCAAGACATGGGTTATAAACAAGAGACGATCACTCCAAACTGGAACGTTTGGAGGAGCACCACATGAGAAGTTGTTGATACTTCCGAGTTAGCTCAACTGCATACCGAGGCAGGCAAGCACCAGCACTAGAAAGACGTTGCACCAGCACCAGAAAGACGTTGCCCCGCCCTACCCACACTAGATGTAGCCCTTCACACGTGCAGCATCAGCGGGCGAACCTATCGATCACTAATAACTCATATCAATTTGTCATCTGATTCCGAGTGACTGCTACTACTGCCACCGCTGCTTCTGCTGCTGTTGCTTCCACTACCACTGCTGCTGCTGTTGCTGCTGCTGTGCCATGATCGTGATGACGGCTAACTTGAAAACCTTAAGGATTCATATCACGCTCACACGTCCACAAAACCTTCCGAGTCCCCCAGTGGAAACGTCCACCGTTTTCTCTGTTTCCTTGATGACGTCATCGATAGGCCGTCTTTGTCTAAAGGGAACTTTGAATATAATCCCCGGATTTCGTAGCAAGACGCTGTATGTTGGGACCTGTTGCCATCCAACCCTTTGTAATCAATTTAATTTTGCTTTTGATAGCTCAGTCAGAGCATTGTTAGTGAGGATAATAGTAGGGAATGAAACGGAGTTCATAGTCTCAGTTGCAACGTCAGAGTGAACAGTAAATTAATTCATCGAAATAGAAGTAGGTGGACTCCCTGACCTATTTTGAGTGAGGGTGCTGCGGGCATTTCAACTGTTAGTAAGTGCTCGCCCCTTCACCCATACAGGTAGGCCATTCCACTCTGTGTTGTAATTCGCGCTTCTTTAAGTGATTTGACCCAATTAATAGTTGATTGTGCAAGTGTTATAGCAACGTAGTTGATATGCTCTGAGTGAAGTCATATTTACGTCTTTAACGTCCCCCTGAAATGTGATGTCGTTGTCACAGTTAGAAAGTGCTCGCCCCTTCACCCATACAGGTCCCTAACGCAGCCTAGGCCGTGTCTGTAGCGTGGATGTTGTATCCACTATGTCTGGGGAGATGTCAGAGGTCCAGTAGGATGAGTTACCTTCGTGAGACCCGACCGTCAGACACTTCAGACTACCTATGGCCCCCATAGCTGGCTCGTCTGGCCCTAACGCTCGGCCTGCGAGGTGACCCCGGATCACCAAGCCACACACCACTACCAGCCCCCATCATTGGTGGATGAGTGTCTAACTCAGTAGGGCTATTTGTGTGGTGGGGTTAATCCACTGGGATCTTCAGAGTTCGTCGGAAAGTACCCCATGGTGGCAGGACCCCATGGCGGTTGCTTGAGTATCACTCCTGACGACTGAGTGTTGTAGTGGCAGTTGCCCCTGGTCTTTATGGTGCTAAGTGACTATGAGAGTTATGTGTTATTGAGTATGTCCACCCAGTAGTGGTGTGAGTGTCATTGAGTATGTCCACCCAGTAGTGGTGTGAGTATGTTGAGCCTGAGGGCATAGTACCAGATTTCGTCTGTTGGTACATATATATTCTTTCTCCTTCCTCCATATTAATGTTTAAATAAATTTTGTATTTGTATATTGTGTCTATTATTTACCTACAGTATCTACCGTTATTTCTTCCCTATTACTTGATACTATCATTACATATACCTGTGAGCCTCCTCTCGTCACGCTACCAATGGTAATAAGTATGAGAGTAAAAGGAATTGTTACTGACACACAGGCCCTTATAGCTGTTGTTGCTTTCGCTGCCACAGCTGTTACTTCTGCTTCCGCCGCTGCTGCTGCTGCCGCTGCAACGTGCCAGTACAGTCGGTGCATCCTGTGGTTCTCATACAAGTATAACCTTATTTAACCTCGACAGAAGGGTAAATGAACTCCCCCGCTACACCATAAATAGTAACATGTGAACTACCTCACTGTATCGTGTTACAGGATACTATTGTATGTATTCATTTTGTATTGTAACTCTGGATTGAGGTTGGGAGGCTGTGATATTAATGGTGGTAGAGCTAGGTTGTGTTTACAGCTGGTGGTTGTCAAAGTTGTGGTTGTTTTCTGCCTGGTGGTCCCAGCTGGTCAGCCTCTCACTCGTGTAATGTTACCAAACACATCAACTGTGTTGCTTGTTCACCCCCGTGTGATGTTCACTCACTACACGCTCATGTTTTATTGTTTTTAAGGTCAAATAAATAGAGAACGACCAGACAGATTAACTGGGATGAAAAAATCATGTAGTTTTTATTTGTTCATTGATGAGAATAAAAACATTATATACAGTTTTGTGATATAATGTTTAGGGTGGTCGAGGACCACTGGTTGCTGCCCACCGTATTGTTCCTGCCGTGGCGTTCCTGCCATAGTGTTCCTGCTCCTGCCGTAGTGTTCCTGCCGTTATGTTCCCGCCATAGTGTTTCTGCCGTTAGTGTTCTTGCCGTAGTGCCAATAGTGTTCCGCCGTAGTGTGTGCCGTAGTGTTCCCGCCGTAGTGTTGTAGTGTTCCCGCCGCCGTAGTGTTCCTGCTGTAACCGCAGGTGCTCCGCCGTAGTGTTCCTGCCGTAGTGTTCCCGCCGTAGTGTTCCCGCTGTAATGCTCCCGCCGTAGTGTTCCTGCCGTAGTGTTCCTGTCCGTAGTGTTCCGCTGTAATGCTCCCGCCGTAGTGTTCCTGCCGTAGTGTTCCTGCCGTAGTGTTCCGCTGTAATGCTCCTGCAGTGCTCCCGCCGTAGTGTTCCTGCCGTAGTGCTCCCGCCGTAGCTGTAATGTTCCCGCCGTAGTGCTCCTGCCGTAGTGTTCCCGCGTGGCCGTAATGCTCCCGCCGTAGTGTTCCTGCCGTAGTGTTCCCGCCGTAGTAATGCTCCCGCCGTAGCCTGCCGTAGTAGTGTTCCTGCCGTAGTGTTCCCGCCAGTAATGCTCCCGCCGTAGTGTTCCTGCCGTGTTCCTGCTGCAGTGTTCCCGCTGTAATGCTCCCGTAGTGTTCCCGTAGTGTTCCTGCCGTAGTGTTCCCGCTAAATGCTCCCGCCGTAGTGTTCCTGCCGTAGTGTTCCTGCCGTAGTGTTCGCTGTAATGCTCCCGCCGTAGTGTTCCTGCCGTAGTGTTCCTGCCGTAGTGTTCCTGTAGTGCCAATGCTCCTGCAGTAGTGCTCCCACCGTATTGTTCCTGCCGTGGCGTTCCTGCCATAGTGTTCCTGCTCCCTGCCGTAGTGTTCCTGCCGTTATGTTCCCGCCATAGTGTTTCTGCCGTTAGTGTTCTTGCCATAGTGCTCATGCCGTAGTGTTCCTGCCGTAGTGTTCCCGCCGTAGTGTTCCCGCTGTAATGCTTAGTGTTCCCGCCGTAGTGTTCCAGCAGTGTTCCCGCCGTAGTGTTCCTGCCGTAGTGTTCCCCGCAGTGTTCCCGCTGTAATGCTCCCGCCGTAGTGTTCCCCGTAGTGTTCCCGCCGTAGTGTTCCCGCAGTAGTGCTCCCGCAGTAGTGTTCCCTGTAGTGTTCCTGTCGTGTTCCCCGTTAGTGTTCCTGCTGTAGTGTTTCCTCCAGTAGTGTTCCCGCCGTAGTGCTCCCGTAGTGTTCCCGCCGTAGTGTTCCCGCCGTAGTGTTCCTGTCGTAGTGTTCCTGTCGTAGTGTTCCTGCCGTAGTGTTCCCGCTGTAGTGTTTCTGCCGTAGTGTTCCTGCCGTAATGTCCCGCCGTAGTGTTCCCGCCGTAATGTTCCCGCCGTAGTGTTCGCCGTAATGTTCCTGCCGTTAGTGTTCCCGCCGTAGTGTTCCTGTCGTAGTGTTCTGTCGTAGTGTTCCTGCCGTTAGTGTTCCTGCTGTAGTGTTCCTCCGTAGTGTTCCCGCCGTAGTGTTCCCGCAGTAGTGCTCCCTGCCGTAGTGTTCCCGCCGTAGTGTTCCCGCCGTAGTCCTGTCGTAGTGTTCCTGTCGTAGTGCTCCCTGCCGTAGTGTTCGCTGTAGTGTTCCTGCCGTAGTGTTCCTGCCGTAATGTTCCCGTAGTGTTTCCGCCGTAATGTTCCCGCCGTAGTGTTCCGCAGTAGTGCTCCCGCCGTAGTGTTCCCGCCGTAGTGTCCTCCGTAGTGTTCCTGTCGTAGTGTTCCGTGTGTTCCTGCCGTTACCTGCTGTAGTGTTCCCCCGTAGTGTTCCGCCGTAGTGTTCCCGCAGTAGTGCTCCCGCCTGCCGTAGTGTTCCCGCTGTAGTGTTTCTGCCGTAGTGTTCCTGCCGTAATGTTCCCGCCGTAGTGTTCCTGACGTAATGTTCCCGCCGTAGTGTTCCCGCCGTAATGTTCCTGCGTTAGTGTTCCCCGCCGTAGTGTTCCTGCCGTAATGTTCCCGCCGTAGTGTTCCCCCGTATGTTCCCGCCGTAGTGTTCCCGCCGTAATGTTCCCGCCGTAGTGTTAGTGTCCTGCCGTTAGTGTTCCCGCCGTAGTGTTCCGCCGTAGTGTTCCTGCCGTTAGTGTTCCTGCCGTAGTGTTCCCGCCGTAATGTTCTTGCCGTTAGTGTCCCGCCGTAGTGTTCCCGCCGTAGTGTTCCTGCCGTAGTGTTCCTGCCCTTAGTGTTCCCGCCGTAGTGCTCCTGCCGTTAGTGTTCCTGCCCTGGTGTTTCCTGCCCGTAGTGTTCCCGCCGTAGTGTTCCCTCCGTAATGTTCCCTCCGTAGTGTTCCCGCCGTAGTGTTCCCGCCGTAGTGTTCTCTGCCGTAATGTTCCCGCCGTAGTGTTCCCGCCGTAGTGTTCCCGCTGTAATGTTCCCGCCGTAATGTTCCCTCCGTAGTGTTCTCTGCCGTATCGTTCCCCCCCGTAGTGTTCCCGCCGTAGTGTTCCCTCCGTAATGTTCCCTCCGTAGTGTTCCCGCCGTAGTGTTCCCGCCGTAGTGTTCTCTGCCGTAATGTTCCCGCCGTAGTGTTCCCGCCGTAGTGTTCCCGCTGTAATGTTCCCGCCGTAATGTTCCCTCCGTAGTGTTCCCACATAAGAACAAAAGAACATAAGAAAATAAGGAGTCTGCAATAGGCCGGTTGGCCTGTGCAGTGTGCAGTGTGCATGGCAGCTCCTGTCGAGCGTTACTACCACTCTCTATCATCCATGAATCTATCTAGCCTCCTTTTGAAACTTTCCAGAGTTCCCGCACTTACTACAAAGTTGCTAAGCTTGTTCCACTCGTCCACCACCCTATTTGTGAACCAGTTTCTTCCTATCTCCCTCCTAAACCTAAACTTATCCAACTTGAACTGTTGCTCCGAGTCCTATCCTGCTCGGATATTATAAGAACTTTATCTATATCCCCTTTATTGATTTCTTTCACCCACTTAAATACTTCTATCATATCTCCCCGCACTCTTCGTCTTTCTAGGGAATGCAAGTTAAGTTTCTTTAACCTATCCTGATATGGAAGGTTTCTAAGTCCCGGAATCATTTTTGTCATTCTTCGCTGCACCGACTCTAGTAAATTTATATCCATTCTATAATAGGGGCACCAGAACTGAACCGCATAATCGAGGTGCGGCCTGACTAGCACAAGATATAGTTGCAATAAGACCTCTGCACTCTTGTTACTTACACTTCTAGATATAAAACCCAATACTCTGTTTGCCTTATTTCGAACATTAACGCACTGTTTTCTAGGCCGTAGGTCCGGGCTTACAAGTACCCCTAGGTCTCTTTCACAAGTCGACTTCTCTAGGTTGATGTTGTTAAGGCTGTATACATTATAAGTATTTGTTCTTCCGATATTAAGTACGCTGCACTTGCTGGTGTTGAATTTCATTTGCCATTTTTCAGACCACCCCTGCAGTTTATTTAGATCCTCCTGTAATGCATTTGCATCCTGCCCTGAATTAATTTGCCGCCCTATTTTGGTGTCATCCGCAAACTTGCTTACGTCACTGCTGATCCCAGTATCTAAATCGTTTATGTAGATTATAAACAAGAGTGGGCCTAGTACTGACCCCTGGGGAACCCCACTGGTTACACGGCCCCACTCAGATTTAACACCATCTACGCTCACCCTCTGCGTTCTATCTGTGAGCCATGATTTTATCCAATTTAAAACTTTCCCCTCGATACCATGAGCCATAATTTTTCTCAGAAGCCTCTGATGCGGTACTCTGTTCCCGCCGTAGTGTTCCCGCCGTAGTGTTCCTGCCGTAGTGTTCCCGCCGTAGTGTCACACAGCACACAGGGCCGGAGGTCTTCACTGTCAGCCTCCGTGTCTCTGACGTCCTCTCATGTTCCTCATCCTCACGCACCTTGTCCTCACCTCCCTCTCCTGGCTGACAGTCCTCACGCACCTTGTCCTCGGGTGTGTCCTCCTCACACACACAAAAGTCCTTGTTTTCCATTATCAGTTTAATCCTCGACCTTCAACAACACAGGAGATTTTTTGTGACGTGGAATAATTATACTCTGGATAGGATAGGTTAGGTCAGGTCAGGTCAGGTCAGGTTAGGTTAGGTCAGGTTAGGTACTGACGTCAGCACGGTCAAAGGTGTCGACAGGTGAGAGCGAGGCGGCTTCAGTAGGTTGTGGTCTTGTCTCGTAAACAACCACACTTTTCATCTCACATTAATTGGTTGACTCGTATTGTCTGGTCCGACTATTTTTCCATTTTTTCTTTTTTCCTTTATTTTTTCGTTTTTTGTCATATATTTCTTGTTTTTGTTTTTGTATAATTTCAATTTCTATTTTCTTTACTATATTTTCCTTCTTTCCTCCTTTGTTCTTCCTCTTCTTCATTTCATTTCTTATTTTTCTCTTTGTATATTTTCATTCTTAATTTCCTTACCGGCTATTTCCTTCTATTCCTCGTATATTCCTCTTCTTAATACAATCTTAATTTCTATATATTTTCATTTTCCTTATTGTCTATTTTATCTATCCTCCATCTCCCTCATTCGTTCTTCTATTATCTTTTCTTTAGTTTTCCTTATTCTTTGTATATCTCTTATTCATTTGTCTTTATCAGTCGTTCCTGCATGTTCATTTGTGTCCATTTAACTTCTCTTTCCTCGACTGAATTGATGGAGTGTTGACGTCATCCCCGAGAGCCAGGGTGAAGGAGTAGCCAGGCAGATGAGTAGACGCTAATAACACAACGTACAGAATGGTTGAAGTTGACATGCACTTCTTAACGTGACCCAAGTATGTTGGGGCACCCGACTGACTCAATATCAACAAAAGATTCCCGAGTGAGTCAGCGTGTGTTCTGTATGACTCAAGAGCAGGTGAGCAGTATATAAAAGGTCAGTCACTCGCGTGTTGTTGCGTCAGTCGCCCCCAGTGTATCGGAGGGGACGCATCACACCAGGACGTCCTAAGTTGTTGTAATGTTCCTCTCACCTGACCAACACATCCACTACCAGGTGTGTTAGTCAGGTGAGATGTGAACCAGGGAGTGGTTAGCTGATACATGAACTCTACACACGATATAACCAATACAGCGTGGTGGCCTGACCATACAGTGTGGTGGAGTAACAACAAAGGATAGTAAAAAGGTGAGGTCACAGGCTGGTACACGTAACGTAACACATAAACAAGGGTTAACTTATAATATACCACCACAACACACAACCTTCACCCTAACACGTCATAACGACTCTGCCATATTATTACCCGACAGTTATGTTGGGCGGTTTACGGCTAAGAACCACTTTAATTCTTCAGGCACAAGTGACTCTTTATCCAAACTGGGAAAACTTATTATAGTTTTAACTTAAGGAAAAAAATATTAAAAAATAAGACAGTTACCTTGATGGGCTGAACATAAATCGAACTTTTAGTGAATGTTATACAAAACCTAACCTAACCTAACTAACCTAACTAACCTAACCTAACCTAACCAACCTAACCTAACTAAACTAACCTAACCTAACCTAACCTAACCAAACTAACCTAACCTAACTAACCTAACCTAACTAACCTAACCTAACTAACCTAACCTAACTAACCGAACCTAACCTAACTCATTTTAGGTAAAGATATCTCATGTTAATATACCGAAAACTCATAAACACAACAAAATCAGTATTAACAAGTACATAATAACTCCTATGAATTTCTAATAACCACAAAAGTTTTAAACACTGTAACACGAGATAGAGTTGTAGTTTAGGACTTAACAAGACAATAGTACATTATAAACATAACTTACAGATTTCAACCCTCGACAGTAGTCTTAGATCCTGAATAATTAAATCCTATATATACGAGTATGTTGGTACGCTGGAGGTATGTTGTATATAACTCATGATTATATGTTAAGTGTTGGAGGTATGTTACATATAACTCGTGATTATATGTTACGTGCTGGAGGCATGTTGTATATAACTCGTCATTATATGTTACGTGCTGGAGGTATGTTGTATATAACTCGTGATTATACGTTACGTGCTGGAGGTATGTTGTATATAACTCGTGATTATATGTTACGTGCTGGAGGTATGTTGTATATAACTCATGATTATATGTTACGTGTTGGAGGTATGTTGTATATAACTCGTGATTATATGTTACGTGTTGGAGGTATGTTGTATATAATTCGTGATTATATGTTACGTGCTAGAGGTATGTTGTATATAACTCATGATTAAATGTTACGTGCTGGAGGTATGTTGTATATAACTCGTGATTATATGTTACGTGCTAGAGGTATGTTGTATATAACTCGTGATTATATGTTACGTGCTGGAGGTATGTTGTATGTAACTCATGATTATATGTTACGTGCTGGAGGTATGTTGTATATAACTCGTCATTATATGTTACGTGCTGGAGGTATGTTGTATATAACTCGTCATTATATGTTACGTGCTGGAGGTATGTTGTATATAACTCGTCATTATATGTTACGTGCTGGAGGTATGTTGTATATAACTCATGATTATATGTTACGTGCTAGAGGTATGTTGTATATAACTCATGATTAAATGTTACGTGCTGGAGGTATGTTGTATATAACTCGTGAATATATGTTACGTGCTGGAGGTATGTTGTGTGTGTGTGTGTGTGTGTGTTGACGTATTGAAGGTGTATTGTGTACAGTATAGAGGTGCTGGTCTGGTCAAGTGTTGGGTGAAGGAATATACAAGGTCGATTGTACTACACCTCTGAGTATATTAGTTTACTCAAGTTTACTCAGGTTCATTTAAGTTTACTCAGGTTCATTTAAGTTTACTCAGGTTTAAGTTTAATCAAGTTTACTCAAGTTTTTTCAAGTTTACTCGGGATTATACCGTCGATTCCATTCACCTAAATTTCAAAGACATACGCGTGTGTACAAAACTAAGTGACATTGCAACCACTAGACACTAACCTAACCTGAGCTAGAGACGTAACAACACGGTTTGGTGAGATAGGGAGGAATGAATACCTTTGGCGTAATGCACCAAGTTTAGCCTAGACCAAACCTGCAATTTAAGACTGAGGTAGGAATTCCTTGCAGGTAAGTTTAATACACAAGGTGAGGAGTGAGAGAAGAGGTGAGGTATGAAACTTTATATATAGCATAATATTGACACTAACAACACCTGTATTTACTGTCGTGTTCATTTGTGAGGATCTATGCTGTTATATGTTTTTGCACTTATGTTTGTTTGTCCGTGTTTTTGTTTTCATATAACACTTCAACAGTACTGGCCCAGCTGTCATCAAACTTGGAATGCTGTTTAGGTTAGGTTGGGTTGGGTTAGGTTAGGTTGGGTTTTATTGTTCAGAAGACCTTGAAGGCAGTATAGCGTGTCTGTATTACTGTCTGGCGTGTCAGGAGTGCGTTTACAAGAGTACTGATTTACGTCGACCTTACCACTTAATATATATATATATATATATATATATATATATATATATATATATATATATATATATATATATATATATATATATATATATATATATATTTAGAAGCATAATTTGTTGTCTAATGGTAGACCCTGCTGCCATGTGGCAACACAAAAATTGTAACCAAGTCCCAGGCTGCTGATCTGACTTTCTGCCTCATTTACACACAATTGCAGGGTCTCAATTGTTTCTCTTACTTTGACAACACAACATACATATATTGTTTCTCACAATTGATCCTTTTTTGTATTTATTTATGGTCCTTTATTATTATTATTATTATTATTATTATTATTATTATTATTATTATTATTATTTCGCTCCCAGGCCCTGATGTGGGTCATTGATATGTGCCCTGGTGGGCTAATCCTGTATAGAAAAAAAATCCATGAACTATGATGTCAACATCAAGCAGCTGATCATTTGAATTAGGATGTCAATACCAAACAGCTGATCATTTGAATTAGGATGTCAATACCAAACAGCTGATCCTTGAACTATGACCTCCTTTCAAATGGCTGACCATTGACCTATAACCTTCCAAACAACTGACCTATAACCTTCCAAAACAACTGACCCTTGAACTATAACCTTCCAAACAACTGACCCTTGACCTATAACCTTCCAAACAACTGACCCTTGAACTATAACCCTCCAAACAACTGACCCTTGACCTATAACCCTCCAAACAACTGACCCTTGAACTATAACCTTCCAAACAACTGACCCTTGACCTATAACCCTCCAAACAACTGACCCTTGACCTATAACCTTCCAGCCAACTGACCCTTAACCTGTGACCTTAAATAACAAGAGGTCACCAAAATATTCCTCTCTCTAATACGTTGAACGGGTGAACTTGTACACGAAAGCCACACGTCTCTGTCTTGACCACGTAAATTTGTTCCTGAAATTTGTAAACAATGGAAAAAAAGACACTGTTTAAGGCGCCTGAGTCTTGGGGGGATTTACACAGAGATGAACACTTGTATGTGTTATTATTATGAGTTGTTTACCTGTCGGGGTTGAGTAGTTTATTTACACCTGATTGTATGGAGAGAGTGTGTGATGAACCTCTTGAGTACGTTGATTTAATCCTTGAATACGTTGATTTAATCCTTGAGTACGATAATTTAATCCTTGAGAACGTTAATTTAATTCTTGAGTACGATAGTTTAATCCTTGAGTACGTTGATTTAATTCTTGAGTACGATAATTTTATCCTTAATTACGTTGATTTAATCCTTGAGTACGATAATTTAACCCTTGAGTATGTTAATTTAAGCCTTGAATACGATGACTTAACCCCCTTTGAGTATGATTGCTTTTTGTTAATTATCAGAGTAAACTGGACTGACTGATAAATTGCTCGTAAAAATTCTGACACCTGACATCTGACACCTAACTCCTGACACCTGATACAATCTCTTCACTCTTCCATTTACCTGTTGCCATTAATTGCATACACACCTGAGAAAACTGTCACGTTTAAACTGGTATAATATTA